ATGGTGTAGTCCATAAGGAGCTATACTATTATTAGCCCAAAGGCCATGCTTCTCTAGCATTGAAAATCCACCAGCAGAAATTCAGAAGAATTACAATATATGCAGTCTCCTCCCAGTCATTTTACAGCCTCAGAAACTACTGGAGGCTTAGCTATGAGGGCATTCTTACCAGGATGCAATGAGTTGAGTTGTTGTTATGTGCCATCAAGTTGTTTGTGACTCATAGCAACCCTAAGCACAATAGCTCGGAACCTGCCCGAGTCAATCTCACTGTCCCTGGCACTCCTGCCCCCATCTCATGTCAATCTGTCTCATCCAGGGTCTTCCTCTCCTGTGCTGCCCCTCCATACTCTCAAAGATGAAGTATTTCTCCAAGAACCGGTCCATCTGGGCAATATGCCCAAAGTATATTACACAGAACCTTTATTTATCAAGTTTTCTGAGCCCGTTGCTGCTCTAGGCCATGTACACACAAAATTAGAGCAATATATTTAACTTGTTCCTTCAAATTAAGTAGATTAGGGAGAAAGGGATCAAGAGTGCATAAATACTGTGCATTATAATATCACATCAAAAACTCCAATTCATTGCTGTGGTCATTCCTCATGGTCATTCCTACTCGTCATGACCCTCCATTGGGTTTCTGGAGCTGTAAATTTAACTCCTTGGAGGACCTGATGGATTTCAGCCACCACAAGTCTTTTGAATAGTGGTGCAACACAAGACCATTAGAACACCTTATTATACTGTAAGATTTAACATTTTAGGTACATAATCAGCTAATCAATCTCTATTGAAGTATAGTAGGATAATTACATAGGACTTAAATGCCAAACTGACATTTACTGTATTTTTTTTTTAGCTGAATTAAGCAGCACATATCATGTTAGGGGCTCATTAAATTGATCAGAACTCTAACAGTAGATGCTTGGAGGTTTTTTTATCCCCTTATTGTATATTTTAGGGAGCTCTCCTCTCATGGCCTAGTGGTAAGAAGCTGTGCTGCAACCTCAGACACACATGGTTCAAATACAACTGCTCCTCAGAAGGATAAGCAGTCTCCACCCATGAAATTACTTGCCTCTGAAAACTCACTGGAGGGTCGGCTGTGGGACAGTTCTGACTCAATGACACACAACAACAACATTGTATATTGGCTTTACCTTTACCCAACATAATGTTGTTGTAGTTGGATGCCACTGAGTTTATTACAAATCATAACAACCCTATGGACAATAAATCTGAACTTTGCCTTATCCTGCAATATCTTCACAATCTCTGTCATGCACAAGATCATTGTGGCAGTCACTGCATCAGTCCATCTCATTGAGGGTTGGTCATCTTCTGTTTTTCCAGCCCTCCACCATGCCTAGCATGATGTCTCTCTCCAAGAACTGGTTCCTCCTTAAAACAGCCCAAAGTAAGAAAGACAAAGTTTCACCATCTTTATCGCTAAGGAGTATTCTGATTTTGCTTCCCTAAAGATAGATTTATTTGGTCTTTTTGAAGCCTATTGTGATATACAATATCTTCTATCCAACACTACAATTTAGATATCACTTCTTCCTTGGTCTTTCTTATTCATTGTTTAACTTTCAGGTACATAAGAAGCAACTGAAAATACTAAGACTTAGATCAGGTGAGTCTCAGACTTTAGACCTTTATTAAGGTCTTCCAACAAATTTCCCAAATGGAATATAAAATTTTATTTCTTGACTCCTGCTAAAGTTGACTGTGGATCCAAGTAAAATTAAATCATTGACAACTTAAGTCTTTATCTATCATGATATGGCTTAATTGGTCCAATGGTGATGATTTGGGGAGTTTTTATGTTTGAGATGTAACCTATATTGAAGGCTGTAGCCTTTGCTCATCTGCTTCAAGTAAGTGCTTCATGTTTTCTTTGCTTTCTGCAAGGAAGGTGATGTCATCTGCATAACACAAGTTGCTAATGAGTCTTCCTTCAGTCCTGTGCCACATTCTTCTTCATATAGTCCAGCTTCTTGAATGATAGGCTCATCATGCAGACTTAATAGGTATAGAGGAAGGATACAGCCTTAATACAAACCTTTCCAGAATTAAACCATGTAGTGTTCCCTTGTTCTATTCAGACAACTGTTTCTTGGTCTATGTATAGGTTTCACATGACTACTAATAAGAATTCTAGGATTCCCATTCTTCTTAATTCCCAACTTAATATATGCACTTATATTCTAATGCCTATTAACTATTACGAAGGGTATTATGAGAAAAATCTTGAACAATCTTGAACTGTGTGTCAAGTATGTATCCTTACTCCATACTTACCCATCTGTATGCTGAGCAAATCATTTGACAAGCTGGACTTTATGAAAAGATTGTGACATAGGATTGGGGGAAGACTCATCAATACCTGTGTTACACAGATGACACAGCTTTCCTTGCTGAAAGTGAGGAGAACCTACAATGCTTACTGCAGAAGATCAAAGGCTACAGACTATAATTTGGATTGTATCTCAAGAAGCTGTTGACAGTTTCAATCTCCTCTCCATCCATCATGATGCTGCCTATTGGAAGAGTGGTAAGAATCTTTGTTTTCTTGATATTGGAATGCAATCCATACTGAAGGCTGTGTTCCTTGATCTTTTGCAATAAGTGTTTCCAGTCCTCTTCACTTTCAGCAAGCCAGGTTATGTCACCTGCATAATGCAGGTTATTGATGAGTATCCCTCCAATCCAATCCTCTTTACAGAGTCCAGGTTCTCAGATAATTTGATCAGCATATAGATTGAATATGTATGGAGAGAGAATACAACTCTGACACATCCTTCTCAATTTTAAACGATATAGTGTTCCTCAGCTCTGTTCTCAAAACAGCCTGCTGGTCTAGGTATAGGTTTTGCATGAGCACAACCCATTCTTAATGTCAGCCACAACTTGTTATGGTCCACACAGTCAAATGCCTTTGCATAATCAATAAAGCATAAATAGACATTCTTCTTGGTGTTCTTTCCTTTCAGCCAGGATCCATCTGACAATAGCAATGTCTGGTGTCACGGCCTCTTCTAAATCCTGTTTGAACTTCTGGCAGTTCCCTATCTATGAACTGTTCTAGCTTTTTTGAATGATCTTCAGCAATATTTTGCTTGTATGTGATATTAATGATTTTGTTCAGTAGTTTCCACATTCAGTTGGATCACCTTTCTTGGGAATAGGAACAAAATAGACCTCTTCCAGTATGTTAGCCAGACAGCAGTCCTCTAAATTTTTTGGCATAGAATGGTGAGCACATCCAAGGCTGCATCTGTTAATTGAAATAAGTCAATTGGTATCTTATCAATTCCTGCTCCCCCCAACTTTTTTTCCAATGCCTTCAATGCAGCTTCTACTTCTTCCTTCATTACCATTGGCTCCTGTTTATATGGCGCTTCCTGAAATTTTTCAGTGTCTATTTTTTCTGGTACAGTGATTCCGTGTATTCTCTTCATCTTCTTTCATGCTTTCTGGGCCATTCAATATATTGCCCATAGCATCTTTCAATATTGTGACATGAGGTTTAAATTTGGTTTTCAGTTCTTTCAGCTTAGCCAAAACAAAAGAAAAATATGTGAAAGAACTGAACAGATTTCAAAGGGAAGCTTGGGAGGACAAAGCAAAGTATTATGATGGAATGTGCAGAGAGCTGGATTTGGAGAACACAAAGGGAAGAACTCGCTCTGCATTTCAATACAGGCTCTTTGTCTATAACTTCCGTGTGTGATGACATTGACTGGTTTAGGCACCAGGGTGATTCTACCTTCATACAGAGTTCAGTACTGATCTTTTCTCCTTTATATTTTTAAGGAAATTAAGTATGATTTGTGTTAAGTCTTCACTTAATATTTGGTAGAATTTCCAGCAAATACACATTTTTAATATTTATTTCAGATCATCTTACTCTCCTGTATAAAACCTTCTTGCCCTAAATGATCAGGCTTCTGTTTTTATTTCTGACTTGTTTCACAGAAACTCGTTTTATCCCCTTATTCACTACACATCAGCCACGACAGCCTTCCTTCTAATACTTGAATGTGCCAAGTTTCTGTAATTTCTACTTCCTGTGTCTTTACATAGCTCACTCCTCCTCACCATTTAAGACTCAGCTCAAACATCACTTCCCAGAGAGGGCTTCTTTGAACACCTCTACTAAATAATTTATTTTCCCACTCAACAAAATTATCATTGACCATCAGATTACTTTGTTATATGTTATTTATTCTACTAGTACTATCTAAAATTATATTTCCGGTATTTGTTACTTATTCGTTGGGTTAGTTCCTTGTGAATGACTACTATTGATGTCTTGTTTACTGCTAAATCTCTTGGCATGGCATAGATATGCAAATATTCATGGAATGAATGTATTTTCTATATAAGTAAGTGAACTAATAGTAAACAGTTTTGTTCCCATTAAGGCCAACTGAGTAAGATGCTCCACCCAAATCAATCTGTAACTCTTGGGAAAGTGTTACCACACCAGTTACCATGTGATTCAGCCAGTTACTAGTCAATTCAAACTCACAGTGAAATCATATATCAGAGTTGAATTATATACCATAGGGTTTTAAGATTGAGTTTGTGCAAGAAAATCTTCAGACCTTTCTCTGTAGTACCTCAGGGTGAATTTGAACCTCCAGCCTTTTAGTTAGCAACCTACATTACTGGCTGGTTTTCCCACTGAAACAGCCTTATAGAAGGATGACAATGTTAGTTGTGTGTCCTATTTCCTCCTGAATCAAGACTTTACAAAATGGAACTTATAAAAAAATCTAAAGAGCTATAAATTTTTATGACTACCAGAAATACCCATATCTAAATATAAGAACACAGAAATTGTGTCAAAGAGAAATATACAAAAACCTTTCTTTTTAGATTCTTTTATGTGATCATCTTAAAGGTGAAATTGCCTTTAAAGAAGATCTTTCAATGAGTAATTTATATCCTTTATATGGATAAAGTCTAACACAGCATTTTAATTTCAGAATATATTTTACGACACCCTGCCCAGCTGTTCAAGTCCAGCTATTACTACTTCTTCCAAATACCATGGTTCCCAGAATTTATGTTTTCAATAAATGATTTCAAGGTAAGTCAAATAAGTACAGTATTACTAATGAAAAATATTTTAAGTTCATCCTTGAGAAAGAACTACTTTCAAATGTTAAAACTTTAACGCCACACCTACAGTGTGTACTGAGGGCCTCACTGAAGTTCCAGTTCTTGTAGGAGCCTACACCCTGGCAGGGAGCTCTGGTGGCCTAGTGGTTAAGAGTTGAGTTGTTAACCTAACGGCAAGGAGTTGGAATCCACCAGCTGCTCTGCGGGAGAAAGATGGGCAGTCTCCTCCCATTCAATTAGCTATCTGAAAATTTGCCAGAGGTTGAGTTATGTATGGGTCATTTCAATTCTACAGCAAATCTTTGAGCATGCCTTGACAGGCTTATCTAGATGAGATGATTAAATGTGAATGCCAGATAAGAGACTCAGACATCAGCAGAGGTGAAAAGGCATGAAGGCAAACAAAATCCCCAAAATGAACATGCAGGTAGGGATGTCTTCTGTCTACTGACACCAAGCACCACATGCATGTACTTATTTCTTTGGAACTTACTGAATTGTTCTTCTTTGTCCAAAATTGTCTTAGCTATTTGTTGTTATTAGTTATCATGGAGTTTGCTCCCAACCCTACACAAGAGACCAGAACACTGCCTAATCCTGATTCCCATGAAGACCTTTGTGATCCAGAGGCTTTTCATGGGCTCACTTCCAGAAGTAGATTGCCAGACCCTTCTCCCTAGTCTGCCTTAGTCTAGAAGCTCTGCTAAAACCTGTCCCACATCATAGCAATACACAAGGTGGCAGTTGCACATGAGCTGCTGTGACCAGGAGGCCCTCCACAGCCTCATGGAAAGTCAGAGAATTCTATCGGTGAGCCATACTGCCTTCTTAAGTACTGGGATGGTAATTTTTTAAAAAAGTAATGGTGGTGGTTGTTGCCAAGCATCGAGCCAGAACTGACCCACAGCTGATCCTCTGGTGGGTTTCCAAGGCTGTAAATAGCGCGGGAGGAGATTGCTCATCATTCTCCAGTGGAGCAGCTGGTGGATTCAAACCTCCAGAGAGGTGCTACCTTTGAGTTAGCAGTGCAACTCCCTGTGGACTATGCCACCAGGGTTCCCTACTGAGGCTACTAGAAGGTTACAATCTTGAGGGGGAGGTAATACTTCAAAACATCGTGATTAGGGGGAAGGAAATGGGCAAAAAGACAGGGTAATGCTGGGCAAGATCCAGTGGTGATTAGTTTTATAAAACATAATGAATGAGAATGATTGTATGAAACACAAAGTGAATAAAAAAATAGTGTGAAACAAAATATGTATGAGTTTTGTAAACAAATCAATTTTAAAAAAAAACAAATCAATTTTTAAAAGCAACACTCAGCATGATTAGTTAAAAATAACCAAGAGCTCCAATGTATGATAGAATGTATAATATCTTTTAGCATATACAAAAATCACCTGTATTCTTTTTTTTTTTTAATTGATATGGCATTCTGATCTCTAAGAGGATTGGGTTGGGGTCCAAGCATTTGTATTTCCTTTTTAAAAATTTTATTGTGGGAAACCTAAAACACAGATCAAATTGAATAATTATTTTCCACACAACCCACTGTCTATGAAATAGTGAGCTTTGATGGCCCCCGTGACTCTGGGAAAGTGTGCTGCTAACCCAAAGATGGCACCACTCTAGTGGCTCAGAGTCACCAGCAGCTCCACGGGAAAAAGAGGGAGAACTCCTGTGCTGTTTACAGTGTCCAGAGCGGGCTGGACGCTCAGCTGTCAGTCAGTGCTGACTCAACAGAAATGAGTTGGCATCACCTAGCTTCAATAGTATTCAGCATTTTTCTGATCTTGTTTCATGGCACCTTCTGTTTCACTTATTTACTGCTGTCTCACAAACTACCTAAAACAGCCACTTCGTTATCTTCTTTCTGTGTTGACTAAGCTCAGCAGGTGGTTCTTCTTAGCCATATCATATCTACCGAGACTTTAATTTCCTAGGGGCTCATTTGGTTCTGAGACGATGAGCATAGCTGGAACTGTTAGACTTCTTTTTGCTTCCATATGGTCTCAGAGCTGTTCCCTCCCCATGATTTCTGCACCAGGGTAACCTAATTTCTTACTTGGCGGTGGTTACAAAAACAAAAAGACAAAACCAAAACAAAACAAAAAAACCAAACTCTTTTCTCTGAATGTATCCTGGTTCATGGAGGTCCTATAGGACAGAGTAGAACTGCCCTATAGGGTTTCCAAGGAGGGAGCTCTGGTGCCCTGGTGTTAAGAAGCTGTGCTCTAATCTCAGTGGCACATGTTCAAATCCACCAGCTCTTCTGTGGGAGAAGAAGGATGGGCACTCTCCATCCATGTCATTTACTGCCTCTGAAAACTCAAGGAAGGGTAAGCTGTGGATCTTGATGGCACATAACAACAACAGCAACCTTTATAGCAGCACATTGTCACATCTTTCTTCTGCAAAGTTCCTGGCAGACAAGCTTTGAGCACTGTCACCAAGACTCTTTCCTGACAGTTCCGAACTCCTAATTAATCAACTAGGAATAAGTATAGTATCATGACGACTGCTTTTCTGTTGTTGATTTATGGCACATAAGGTTGCTCTGAGTCAGAATCAACTCAACAGGGTCTAACATTAATAGCAACATATGGTTTCAGGTGATAACTCTAAAGTCATAGACATTCCAAGAAATCTTGCCAGATTCTCTGTCTTTCTGCTCTTTTCCCAACTTGTTCCACAGTAATCTACTTTGATTAGTTTGGGGTTTTTTTAATAGAAATATATTTTTTTTAATAATTTTAATGAACATTTACAGAGAATTTGGATTTCCATTCATTCATTGCTGCACTTCTCTACCCGCCCAGCCCTCTCCCCCCGCCCCCCAGTTCGCTCCTCTCTTTCAAAAGTAAAAGAAAGACTCTCTCCCTGGGACACAATCCCCCCGCACCCCTCCCACTGCCCCAAGTACATTCCACTATGCATAGTGGAATGTACTTTGATTAGTTTTTAATGGATCTTTCTTAAAATTTAATGTGTATGTATTTGCTCCCCATTCCCTTTTTACACAGAAGGTAACATGAAACATTGTTTTCTACTCTTGCTTCCCCCTCCTCCAACTCAACTTTGTCTCACATAGTTTGGGAATCTTATTAGAAAGGGCCCATTCCTAGAGAAAGAGAGTTAAAATTAATATTCCTGGAAAAGTAGAGGATCAGCAAAAAAGAGGCAGGCCCTCAAAGAGCTGGATTGACACAGTAACTGCAACAATGTGCTTAAGCACAACAGAGATTGGGATGTTACAGGATTGAGTAAGGTTTAGTCCTATGTGCACAAGACTGCTAAGAGTTGGAGTTGATTCAGTGGCATCTAATAACAACATTAATTATGGAGGTCACTCCATATAAGCATATAGCGATTGTATTCATTTCTTTATGTATATAAAAATATTAGAGGGCACAGTATAATTGAAATAGAAGTGGGTTTAGATACACACACACACACACACATATGAGTATGAATTAGAGCATCATGTAAAATTTATTTCTTACTCTAGATAAAGCTCAAAAAAGTTTGAGCAATACTGATACTAAGAAAGTTCTATGTGGGAGCGAGGATTGGTTGTGAGAAAATAAGATGCATTAATAATAATGGGTGACTGGAATGTAAACATGGGAAACAGGTAAGAAGGCTTACTAGTTGGAAAATATGGACTTGGTGACAAAAAATAAAGCTGGAGATAGGATAATAGAATACTAGACAATCAAGAAGTTAGCCATTAAATACTTTTTTAGCAGAAACTTAAATGCAGACTATACACAAGGATTTCACCTGATGATTTGAACAGGAATCAGATCGATTACATCTGTGGAAAGGATCATTGAAGAAGTTCAGTATCAGCTATAAAAACTAGGCCAGGTGTTGACTGTGGAACAGACCATTAACTACTGATACGCAAGTTCAAACTAAAGCTAAAAAAGGTTAAATCAAATCCACAGGAATCAAAATTTGACTTTGAGTCTATCCCATCTGAATTTCAAAACCATCTCAGGAACAGGCTTGAGGTCTTGGACAAAGACCAGATGAGCTGTGGGACGATATGAAGAATATCATCCAGTGTACAACAGAATGAAACATTGCCCAACCTTACATCACCTGCGTAGAGAGTCATAATGGCTGAACATATCATAGCAACCACAGTATCAATCCATCTACTTGAGGATTTTTTTTCTTGACCTTCAGCTTTGCCAAGTGTGTCCTTCAGAGACTGTTTGCACCTGATAAAGTGTCCAAAGTATGTCATACAAAGTTTGCCACCTTTGATTCTAAGGAACATCTGCCTGTATTTTGGGAGTACATCTTTTAAGGCTTATGCATTCTGACATGCCAATAAAAATTTTTGTGTTCCATGTTCCTCATGAGAGTATGCATATGTAACATTATAAAATGTTAGCTAATTAGAACTTTAATTTCCTAGAGATGACATGGTAGCAAAATGCAAATTTCTGTTAAAATTACAGAGAATCTTTAAAAAAAAAAAGAATATTACTCAGGAAGAATGCAAAAGGTCACTACAAAGATGGAGTAGGAAGAAAAGACCAAGACAGTTATCAGAAGAGACTCTGAATATTGCACTTGAGCACCAAGAAACCAAAGCAAAGGGAAGAAATTAAGGAGCTGAACAGAAGATTTCAAAGAAGATTTCACAAGAAGACAGCAAAGTGTTACAATGAATGTGCAAAGAGCTGGAGTCAGAAAATCAAAAGGGCTGAACTCGCTTGGCATTTCTTAAGCTGAAGGAACTGAAGAACAAATTCAAGCCTTGAGTTGGCATACTTAAGGATGGTTTGGGCAGAATGTTAAATGATACAGGAAGCATTAAAAGACGAAAAGAATACACACACACTGTGTCAAAAAGAATTGGCTGGCACAAAAGAATTTCATGAAACAACATATGATCAAGAGGCAATGGTGATAAAGGAGGAAGTTCAAGCTTCTCTAGAAGGAATTGGCAAAGGCCCCAGAAATTGATGAAATACAAACTGACATATTTCAACTGATGCTGCCCTGGGTTTGCTCACTAGATTGTTCCAAGAAACTTGGAGAACAACCACCTGTCAACTGACTGGAAGAGATCCATATTTATTCCTTTTCCAAAAATAGGTGACCCAACAGAGTGTGGAAATTATTGAACAATATCACTAATATCACACGCAAGCAAAATCCTGCTGAAGATTATGGAAAAAAACAACTGGAACAGTATATTGACAGAGAACTTCCAGAAATACAAGCTAGGTTTAGAAGAGGCTGTAGCACTGGAGATATTATTGCCAATGTCAGGTGGATTTTGCCTGAAACCAAAAAGTACCAGAGGAATGTCTATCTGTGTTCCTTGGACTATGGAAAGGCATTTGACTGTGCAGATCATAACAAATTGTGGCACTTGATTGTGCTCATGCAAAACCTATACTTGGACCAGGAGTCAGTTGTTAGAAAGAGGAATGAAACAATGCCTGTTTCAATTAGGAAAGGAGTGCATCAGGGATGCTTCGTCTCCATAACCGAAAATCTGTATGCGGAACAGATTATTTGGGAGGCTGGACTTTATGAAGAGGAATGTGGCACCAGGACTGGAGGAAGACTCATCAATAACCTGCATTATGCAGATGATACAATCTTGCTTGCTGAAACTGAGAAGGACCTGAAGCATTTGCTGCAGAAGGTCAAGGACTATAGTTTTCAAGGTGGATTGAAACTTAATATCAAGAAGACTAAGATCTCACCACTGGACTAATTGGCAGCATCGATGATGGATGGAGAAAAGATCAAGGTTGTTAACAGTTTCAGCTTGCCCAGCACTCTTGGCACCAGCAGTCAGGAAATAAAAACACAAATTTCACTGGTGAAGTCTGCTGTCAGGGACCTCTCCAAAATGCTAAGGAGCGATGACATCAGTCTAGAGACTAAGGTGCACCTGATCCAGGCCATAGTTTTCACAATTACTTACTATGCTTCTGAGAGCTAGACAATGACTAAGGATGGCAGAAAAATTGATACCTTTGAGTTGTGCTGGAGAAGAGTAGAAAACAAATAGGTCTGTGTTAGGGAACGTGAATGAAGTTCCTCCTTGGAGGTAAGGATTTTGAAGCTCCATTTCACATATTTTGGGCATGAGCTATTGTACATAGGGTCACTCTGAGTCACAGGCAACTCGATAGCACATACCAACACCAACACCAACACCAACACCACGTTGTTAGGTTGGAATATTAGGGAAGACTTCATGGTGGAAGAGCCCTAGTGACACAGTGGCTTCAAGCTCAGGTGCCTAGTCAAAAGGCAAGCATCTGGAACCCACTAGCTGCTGTGCACAAGATAGTGTTAGCAGCCTGCTTCTAGGAGTGCAGCTTAAAAACCCTACAGGGCAGGTCTTCTACGGATCTCTGTAAGTCAGAATGGACTTAACAGCAACAGGTTTGGGTTTTTTGTTTGGGCAGATGTGGGCAGCATTGGAGATGGTCCTGCCTGACGAAGACAGTGTTTTCCACACAGGAGAAAGTGCATGGGGACTAGAAGGGGAAATTAGAAATATAAATCCAGGAAAGTAGAAATGCACAAATTGTGTTGGTAAATAACGAGATTCCCCAACCTGGCTTGGGCAGAAACTGGGAGTTTTCCCTGCACACTGTCCCTTGTATGCTTTCAAAAGCCAAAGAGTTGGTTTATTGATAGATTCCTAGAAAGTATTAATTATTCTTTTTTCCTTTAAATTAGGCTTTGAAACATCTCTTTACGAGTCACAGGACTGGCATTGGAAGAAAAGGATGTCGACTAACAACAGAAGATCTTGAAGCTTATATTTATGTTTTTTCTCAGCCTGGAGCATTAAGTGGTCCAATTAACTATTACAGAAATATCTTCAGGTCAGTATATTTTAAAAAAAATTGAATAATTCCATTTTATCCTGAATAGCAAATACTTTCTTTTTAAGATTACATTTACCTGTTATTCAAAGAGGGAGCTCTGGTGTAGTCCATAGAGAGCTGTGCTACTAACCTAAAGGAAACAAGTTCAAATCCACCAGCAGCTTTGCAGGAGACTCTTTTCCCATGCAATTTATAGCCTCAGGAAAGTTGGTGGAAGGTCACCTATGAGTTGGCTCTGAATTAAAGGAAATGAGTGAGTTGAGAGCTTATTCCAAAGCTCAAAAAGAATTGTAGTTGTTTTGAATAGTAGAGTCAGAACAGACCCATGGCTGACCCTCCAGCCAGTTTTCAAAGGCAGTAAATTGCACAGGAGTTGATTGCCTATTCTTCCATGGAGCAGATGGTGGTGATTTGAACTGCGTACTTTGCATTGGCTGCACAGCTGCCTACTGCTAACTCACTAGAGCTTCCTTCAAGAGTACTCTATTTTAATAAGTCGCTCAATAATTTTTTGATATTTCACACACAAACATAGTAGTATAGTTAATTACCCATATTGCCATCATTTCTTTTATTCTTCATTTTTTCTACTTCTTCACTCCCTTTGGATTATTATTTACATCATTTTAGTGATTTATTATAAGGTAGTTTATTCAATCAACAAACATTTAAGTGTTTTCTATGTCCTAGATTATGATGGCACTCAAGATACGATAAAAAACAAAACTAGACAAGTCCCTGATTTCACAAAGCTTGTTGAGCTGTGGAACAGACACTGATTTTAAAAATCACGGTTGTTAGGTGCCGTCGAGTGGACTTTATGAACAATTACTCTATCCTGTACCAACCTCACCATCTCTGACACACTCAAGCCCTTTGCTGCAGTCACTGTGCCTATCCACTTGCTTGAGGGTCTTCTCCTTCACCTACTCTCCATCCTTTTCCAAATGATGTCTCTCTCCAAGGAATAGCCTCTCCTAGCAACATAGTCAAAGTATGTGAAATGAAGCTTTGCTGTCTTTGCCTCCAACGAGCACTCTAGCTGCACCTTCTCCAAGATATATTTGTTCTTTTGCCAGTCCATGGACTATTCGGTACTCTTCTCCAACCCCCACTTCAAAGACATCAAGCATAATTCTAAGCTAAAATAAAAGCCTTAATGGAGTTCTCAGAAAGTGTCTTGCAAAAAATACTTTGTCTAGATGCAGGGGTAAGACAAAAATTCTTCTCTGAGGAAATTATGTCTGAATAAAGAAGAATGGGTTAGGTGTTGACTAGATAAGCTTGGGAGTGGGACAGCTAGCATTCCAGAAAAATGAAACAGTATGCTCCAAACTATGTAGAAGGATGGTTGATTGTGGTCTCCTGTAACAGGGCGGAGGCACAAGAGTGAGGGCGGGAAGAAGGGCATGGGATGAGAGCAGGCTGGAGAGGTAGGGATGGAATAGCCAGGAGAGACAAGTCAAACATGCCAAGTATTGAAGAGCCATGAATGTGAAACCATTGAACAAGGGTGTCAAGCAGGAAAGAAGATCAATTCATTTGTGTTTGGTAAGTTCATGTGTGTCGTAATACAGATAAGATACTGAATGGGATGCAGAGTAAATATAGGGACACTGCAGTGACCCAAGTTGAAATGATAATAGTTTGACTAGTCTGAAAGCAGTGAAGATGGAGAGAAATGAGTCCATTTTGGGGATACTTAAGAGGCAAAATTGACGTAGCTTGGTGAACAAAAAGAAGATGGACATCAAGAATTTCTGGCTTGTACAACTGTCCTTATAGAGACAAAAAATATGAGAAGAGGACCAGATATGAAGGAAGGGCCAAGAATTGTATTGACCTTTGTAGACTAGTTGAATATGAGGTAGTGCCTTGGATATTTAAGTAGGCAGTTGTATAGTAGCGTTTGGAATTTTGAGGAGAGATCAAGAAGATATTTCCTGATATTTCCGGAATCAATGGCATAGAGATGATAACTGACACTTTGGTTCAGAAGCTCTTGTTTAGAGAGGAACTATAAAGTGAAATAATGGAGGCCTATCTATTTGAGTCTAAACTTTAAATAGGAAGAAACGATTTCTCTTGAGAATTAGCCACTATAGCATTCCAAAAAGAGAGGTATTTAAATTTATGCTACTTGCATGATAATGGAATTCTCAAGGCAGAAAATATATTTTAAAATAGGCGTAGGCTGGTAAAACTTTCTCAGAATCCTGACACAAAGAAAAACAAAACTTCTCTGGAAGATCTCAACTCAGAACTTTCCATTTCTGATCTCAGAGGTAAAGTCCCCAGAATATGAATTTATAATCCAGTCTGCTTACTAAAAATATTATTTCCCCATTAGTGTCAGCATACAAGTTCAATATGAATTTCCTATGAAATAGTAAAACTGAATAGTGCTGCTGCTGTTGTTATTTTTGTTGTGTACCATCGAGTTGGAACCAACCCACAGCTGACCCTCAAGCAGATTTTCAGAGGCAGTTAATCACACAGAAGATTGCCCATCCTTCTCTCATGGAGCATCTGGTGGACTCTAACAAGTATATTTTAACTTTTAAATATGTAACAGAAAAATAAAAATAAAACGGGAGAAAACATTAAGATAATATACAGAAAAACTATAAAGAGCTGAAAAAAACCAACCCCAAACCAACGTCTAGAAATGGAAAATATAAGTCATTTACATACACAATTCTATCTCTTTCTGTCACTGTCATCGCCAGTGAGTGATAACAGACTCTTAATGGACCCTCCAGCAGGTTTTCAAAGACTGTAAATGCACAGGAAATTGCCCAACTTTCTCCTTTGGAGCAGCTGATGGATTAGAATTGCTTGCCTTTGAGTTGGGCAGCACAATTCCTTACCCACTAGGCTACTAGAGCTCCATAAAATCTCATGTCATTGTACTGGGTGCCATCAAGTTGACTATGACTTATAATGTCCCTGTGAACAACAAATCTGAAATTTGTGCTATCCTGCACCATCCTCAAAACCAGAAATGCTGGAGGCCATTGTTATAGTCATTTATCTTTTGGGGAGGGAGTTAAAAAGCAGAGACAAACTCCACAGGCAAGTTAAAGAGTAAGACAAATAAAAGAATGTGTGTAGCATCAAATTGGATCTGACAAGTACAGGAGAAGATTGCCCCTCCTTCTCCAGCACAGCATCTGGTGGATTTGAACCATGTACCTCTGGGATTGCAGTGCAGCTTCTTGCCACTAGGCCACTAGAGCTCCCTACAAATAAGATAATTCTTAGAAAATTACCCATAATGTAGTTATGAGAGAGTAATAAATAGAAAAGATGGGTTGGAAGATAAATATAAAAATGCCAACATATATAAAATAGAAAGGGAATGCTAGTAACCTAATGGCAAGAAACTATGCTGCAATTCTGAAGACATATGGTTTGAGGCCACCAGCTGCTCTGTGGGAGAATGATAGGCAATCTCCTCCCGTGCGATTAATTGCTTCTGAAAACCTGCCAGAGGGTCAGTTATGAGTCAGTTCCAACTCAACAGTACATAATAAAAAACATATAGAATAGAATAGAAAAAAAGCAAAGGATTGGGGAGGGATATTACACACAATGCATGATTCTAAACCAGTTGAAGTGCAAACAAAACTATCAGTTTGAAAGAAACAGCAAAGGTGAAAAAGCAAAGCGGGATAATTATAATGCACAGAATAAGATGACAGAAACTAGTTCAGTGGGCCAACAATCGCAATAAATATGACTGTCTTAAACTTGTCTGCTAAAAGAGTATCAGATGGGATGTTTTCAAATCCAGCTATAATGCACAGTCAGGATGAAAATCCTAGCTATCTTGTGTTTCTAATAGTCACAATGAAAACATAACAGTACCAAATTGTTAAAAGTAAGGGGAGGGGGAAAGTAGGTGTTAGTTTAAATGAGATAAAAAAAAAATCTCTCAAACCCCTTCTTGAATATAGACCCAAGGGGAACATGGAGTTATACAAATAAAGGAAGTCAAATTCTATGCATCTTTTGGCTAACAACAAAACTTACAAATACTTTTATCTTCAGAAAATAGAAATACTAATTTAAAATGTATTTGTAGGTGGCAGTTTATCAAGCAACACAATGATTGCAAACTAAAAAACTCAATTCTTTGTTGATATTCCAGCAGGTTTCCAAGGATTTAAATGTCATGGGGGAGACTGTCCTTTTCCTCATGCTAAACCATAGGTGAATTTGAACCACCAGAAAGGTGCAGCCTCTGGGTTAGCAGCACAACTCCCCACAGAGCAGGCTACCAAAGCTCTTCAGTGATTGCATAGGCAGGTGGGGATGCTGGAGGCTACAGGTTACAGGATAGAACGGCGTTTAGGGCTCTTGTACATAGGGTCGCTGAGTCACAAATGACTCAATGGCACATAACAACAACAACAACAACAACATAATAATATCTGAAGTATAAACACTTGTTGCTGATATATTTGATGTTTTGTGTTTTTAAAAAATATATCATTTGCAAGAATAGTTGTTAAAAATAGAGAATTGCACATGTCATTAAAGTTTTCATTTTAGACAAAGCACAAGGATGACAGTTTTTATAATATTCTCAATCTGTACCTCTTTCATGAGCTAGCTTAATGATACAGAATAGTACATTTTAAGTAGTTTCTAAGGAAAGGGGGAAATATTCTATCTTTCTGTAGTACATTTCCTAACAGCTGTTCATTAGAAGGACCTTATGCCCAAGTACGAGCACATAGGATTCTGTTACTTGGCATAGAAAGGGGGAGGGGGAAAGCAGGCCTGTGAAGTTAAAAATGCTGAGATGTAGATCAGATCTAAGTTTTCCTTGCAAAATAACGGATGTCCAGAAGCTCAAATGATCCCCTCTGAGCACATCTTTGCATAGGGCAACCATAGCTAAGAATGTCATTGTCAATAATAATCTTAGACAATACGTGTTAAATGTGGAGCATATCAGAGATCATGAGGATGGCAATGGGTAGCAAGGATCCTATCTATTGTTCACAGGGTCACTGTGTGTCATAGTCAACTCAATAGCACCAAACAACTGATTATAGTCAGGAGAGGAGTCAGCCCTTAATCTTTCTGAACCCTGGTGGTGGTGGTTGTTTACAACACCACCACCACAACACCACCACCACCATAGAAAGAGCTCTGTGGGCCTGGTGGGTAGAAAGTTATGCTACCAAGCCAAAGGTGGGTGATTTTAATCTGTGGCCCCCAGGCCTGGTTTTAATTATTTTTGGTCAAACATTCTTCTAGGTCATATAGCCTTGGTGTGTCCACTTGCTGTACAGAGGTAACTCGTGGTTTCTGTGAAGCTGAACACTGTGACACTGATGCATCAAATGCAATAATGGTTACCCATGGTGGACAATGTTTGGTGGAGCTCCTCAATTAAACAAGCTTGGAAGCAGGAGTGGCATCCACTTCCAAAACAGCTTGCCCTCCAGAAACTCTGTGAACTTGGAGAAACGATGAAAGTTATACAGTTGTTCAGATCTTTTGTTCTTAGGGTCGCTATGAATTGTCTACAACTTGACAGTACTTAAAAACAAAAACAACAACAAAACCCTGGTGGTATTATAATTAAAGTGCCTTGCTACTAACTGAAAGGTGTTTCCAACTTATCAACTGCTCCATGGGAGAGAGATATGGCAGCCAATTCCAATAAAGATTGAAACCTTGGAAATTCTATGGGAAACTGTGCCCTGTAGGATCATTTGAAGTCAGAGCAATTTTGGTTCTTCTTATACCATAAATAGTATCTTTTTAGAGTTTTTTT